ATAATAATAATAATAATAATAAACAAAAAGGTTTTTTAAAGACGAGGAACCTGAGAATCATTGATAGCCTGGAAGGAATTGTATCTTGCCAATTTCAATATGGTACATAATTTTCTTTAGCTGGCAGAAGTCAGACAAAGTTCTTTGTCTTTTCATCCAAATGGAATTATGTGAACAAGGGACACTGGAAAACTGGATAGAAAATAATAGAAAAGACCAAAAATATCATGAGATGGCACAAAACAAATTTTTACAAATACTGAAAGGAGTGAAATACATTCATTCTGAAAGGTTAATTCATCGAGATCTCAAGGTAAGTAGGAGAAGCAATTTTTAAAAAATTAGTACTTACTGAAATTTCAGAAAAAGTTAAAATTGTTCTAGTCTGTTTAATCTATTATGTACCATAGTGGTGTGCTGCTTCTGATACTGCTAGTGATTTTTTTCTTCCCAGCAACTGGCTAGACTTGATCCTAATATGAGAAGGTAAACTGGAAGATCTCAGAATGCAGTAGTTACAAAAAATCAGAACTCATCCGTTAGCAGGCATTTTCAGTGTATTATGTGTTACTGGGTCACAAGACTGCCTATTGGAAAAAGAAATACTAACTTTGCTTGATAAAACAAAGAAAGAAAGTGAAATGTTCAGTCTAGGAAGTTTGTTCTTGCCATATTGTCGAGAGAGTTTATCTGTCCTAATACCTGTTATGTTTGAAAACAACATACTTGAGTTACTCCTATATCATGTATGCATACAAATATTTCAATGCTACTTTTCAGGATAGAATTTCAGTCTTTACAAGTGCAAAAACATAAAATATTTTATTTCAATATAAAGATTACAAAGGTCAAAGTTGCAAGCCTTCAGGGCTTCATATACCAGCTATAATGTGGTTAGTTTTAAATCACTCGCTTTGTGAAAAAAGTCGTTAGTGTGGTGTTCCTAAAAGCGCCTGTGGTGGGCCACATTAAATGTTGATCTAGGATGCTGTTCTCCTCATATAGTGGCTAATTCCAAACACCTAGAGAGTATTAGAGCTGAGACATGACACAGTGATGCTGTCCTTGATGCATATTCCCTTCCTCTCAAGTCTTCCAGTAACTCAAAGTTAATGGACTTCTTGAGCCAGAGATTGAAATCTTTTGCATTCTGCATTCAGTGTAGTTCTAGATTGTGTTCACTGCCTACTCGTAGAATCTTGTCTTACACATGGACACATTCATATCTACTAGAGCTTTTCTGTCAGGCTTATTGCTACAATACTGCAATGAACCAGAAGTATACACTTGTTATTTTCCCTAGATGACTGGGAAGAAGAGGCCTAATAAGTGCCTTCTCATCCATTAATTCTTGGCTCTTCCCACTCTGTGCTTTGTATTTTCCTGTTTCTTCAGTCTTACTTTATTTTCATCTCAGCTCAATTTCCTACTTTTCCCTATTCCTATGAATTTGCTGCCCTAGTCCCTTATCCATGGCATCTGGCTGTAACCTGCTTCCAAGTCCTATTGCTAATTTGTGTGTCTGCATTTGAATTCAGGAAATTTTCTCCCTACTTTGATCTGCTGTCAACTTAGATGCTTGGCCATCTGAGATACCTATGTCCCAGAATCAAAGCTGCAGGATAGGTTCAAGCTGAGATGAATCCCCTTTGTGCCTGGTATGAATGGACTCTTCAAATAGTGTAGCCACATGTAGGTACTGTATTAAATGTGTGTGTACGTGCTCAAACTTGAGCAGAAGAACTGCATTGGGCATTCTTGATACAAAGGTCTCTCTTCCTGTTAAATGTTAAGTCTCTCCTGGCCTTACAGTCCACTGGAGCTTCTTTGAGTAAAAGATAGCATGAGGTTATTTGGTTTTGTTTTAATAACATTCAGAAATAGTTTCTTTATCTTCTTTGGGAAACTTCACTCAAGCATATACAGTTCTTATTTTTAGTTGCTTATGACTTTGTCCAAATTAAAAATGGGAAGCTCAATGGAAACTTAAAAGTGATACTGTGAGATGCCTGTAGTAATCCCTAAATCTGCAGTTGACTTAGTACAGATAATCTAGCTGTGCCTAGGAGAAACTATGATTTGAGTGGAATCCCATGTGAGCCTAAATGCGTTGCCCCAGTGCATCAAATCCCAGGACTGGGATTGAAGACTGAAAAACACTTCTGGATTTGCAATGTTATATGCACAATGTATTTGAAGAGCACTGAAGTGTGATACAATTATGGCTAAGCTAGTGGGGGAAAAAAGTTGCAGTTACTGTGGCATGTACTACTTTAATTTTTAAGAACAAAAACTAAATTTAATGGAACTTTTTTTTCCTGTTTCTCACTCCATCAGTTTCTTAATGCTAATTTTTGTGAACAATTATCAAATTTTATTGGGAGCCCTTCTGTCTCTGATTATGCTTGATGATAAACCGTGGTCATATGGTGATTTGTTTGTTTAATTTACATAGCCTCAGAATATATTCATATCATGTGAAGATAAAATAAAAATAGGCGACTTTGGTCTTGTGACTTCTGTGGAGTATGAGACTCTGACTGAGAACAGAGGAACAAAATCATATATGGCACCAGAACAGGTAATTACCCTGCTGTCTGAGAGTCTCTAACTAATTTGCATTATAAACTCAGGACTGCATATTCTAAATCCTAATCTCAGTACCTAATCTACGTGCCTAAAGTTCCCTGGTATGACTGCATATGAGGATAACTGTGTTCTGGAAAAAGCCCTCTACAAGCGTGGTGATTTTATTTTGCTGTGTTAACCTACAGGGTCTAACACTGCATGCCGTAAGAAATGTTCTTGCAAAACCAGGCTGGCACCTGTGTATTTCAATGTGAACTTAGGACCTCGGCTGACTGTGGCACTTGTGTCCTATTTGTTCTATTGTGACAGAGAGATATTGGTATGCTGTATGTGTACAGGTCTGTGGAAGTCTTAATTTCAGTGTGCTTAATGTGACATAATAGTCACTATTTAACAGATCTGTAGCAGAAAGGGTTAACAACTAATAAAAAGATCAAGTAGGGCCAGTCCTGCAGCCTTAGGGTAGAAATTTGCTTTAAGAAGTGGTGTCCAGGTGGATTTGACAACTATATTTTTCTTGTTCTAATCTTTTTAGGTCGGGGACAGATACGGAAATGAAGTAGATATTTTTGCACTGGGATTAATTTGGTTTGAAATTCTTTCGGCATTCACTTGTCATGAGAAAATGAAGGTATATAATCTTTAAATTAAAAAAAGTTTGTCATTGTTTTGCCTTGTTGTTGCTATTGCATACTAGAAGGAATCTGTTTATCTAGAGTACTGTATCTATTTACATTTTCCCCTTGCTTCATTTCTGTAAGGCCTGTAAGTCCTCATACACTGCTTGAAATGTAGTAACTGAAGTAAAGAAATATTACTCGTTTTATTTCACTTACGTTCTACTGATGTTCACATTAAAACTTGAGCATGCTGAAGAATAATGTCTAGCAAAAAACATTTCAAGTTTCTCATAAAACCTGTTTGGTCACAGTATTTAGAAGCAGTGTTTTTCTAATTTTAGAAAATAAAAATTATGAATGGAAGAATTTTGTCTCTGCCACACACTAGTCTTCATTGTACAGCGGAGCTGAGAACAAAGTTTCTGTCAAGCCAAAACACAGTTTTCCAAAATGATACCAAAAGTGATTTGGAATAGGTAGCTTTAACTGACAAAGATAGTACTTAAAAAAGAAATGATTACTTTTTTTTTTAGCTATCTTTTATGTGTCTTTTGCTTTTTCCTGGTACATTGCACATTAGTGCAACAGCTTTTATGCTCAAACCCATATATTTGTAGGACAGCAACACAGCTGCTGAGTATTTTGTTCAAAGTAAGACGTATGTACATGGTTGGACCCTATGCCAGGCTACTGCATCCCTAAGACTAGCTAGTGATTCAGGATTCAAAGCTAAGGGTGCCAGAATCTGCCTGTCATCTTCAGGCACACATTACACTAGTTAACAGCAAAATGAATGATGTGGACTGCTCTGACTGCCCATAAAGCTACATCATATTGAAAAAAAACCCAAACCAGTCATCACCCAGAAACAGTTTCTGAAAGCATGTAACTAAAAATCCTCTATATGTTAGTTGCTTTGAACAACATGTATCATTTTCTGCAGCAATAAAAATATATGTGAGATACTGAACCATACCTGCTTGACTTGCAAATAGTAACATCTGAAATAGGCAATTTTAATAATCTTGCCTTTTTTTAAGTAGTAAGAAAATATAAAATCACTACTTTTAAATTAAGAAAAGAAGGATAATGGTTCTGAAATAAAAAGGACGGCAGAAACAAACACATCATCGTAGAGTGTGAAGCTTTTAAGCTTAGAAAGGGACATCAGTTGATGAAAAGACCATAAAAACAAAACAAAGTACAACTTAACGGAAAAAACTTTCAAACTGTTTACAGTTTCTTTTTTTCTGAATCCTTACCTTTTTTGTAGATTATTTTCCCAATTACTTCAGTAAATATAGGGATTGTGAGATGCAACATACAGTAAATGAAAACATACTGAATATGTTTGCTTTTATGAATTTCAGGTATGGCATGATGTTAGAGAAGGTAAACTTCCAAAGCACTTCACCTATCAATTTCCAGCAGAGGTATGGAATTTTAATACATTATTTCAATTAGTTTATTTACTCATAAAAATAATTTATTGACATTTAATTCTTTTCTGCAGGCACCCATAATCCGAAAGATGCTTTCAAGAGATCCTTCAGGAAGATACTCTGCAGCTGAAATACTTGAGTTTTTTCAGTCTGCCACTAAAGCCAACTCATTTAGAGCTCATACTCAGTAAATGCCCTTTTAAAGGGCTTTCAGACTGTGTTGGAATCCAGTTTGATGTCTGTTGGAAGTGATGAAATAACAGCAAGTGTCAGAGGCAACAGCAAGATTTAGGAGATGTCTTTTCCTTGGTGTTTTGCCTTCCTGCCATTGAGGTGCTCGTTAGCCAAAAAGATCTCATCACCATTCTTGCCCATCAACTGCAGACCAGGAAAGCATACTTCTGCAAGCAATCACTTGCCATTTTTACCTGGAAACACAGGTTATTGGTAAGCTGAACTATAATGTACAATAAGTGCAGGAACATGGTTCTTATATCCTAGAAGATTAAGTTGCTGTGGTGCCGATTGTGGCAAATGCCTGTATGCATGGCTCTTAACAGGTGTTGCATCTATGGTCGGTTCAGTTTATCTGCTGCTTTCCATGGAAGAAGTACTTTGTTGTGGTATGTGACTCAAACCTTTCTGATTTGCTCAGTGATTTTTTTAATAATTACTAGAATGCTCCCGTTAATGCAAAGACTAATTTTTGTAGAAATGATACTAGGAATAGATCTGTGTTATTCTTCACTGAATTTCAGTTCTTTAATATGAACTTTATCTCTACACACCTGTTAGACACCTAGCACATTCAGTGCTCTAGAACATGAAAAATACATACTTTTAAAGTAAGCATTCTTTGAGATTTTAAATGTTAAGCATTCAGCTTCTAGGACATCTAGTTTAGATTTGTTCTAAACTTTTGAAAACCTTAGGTTTCGAGGGTTTATTTTCTGAAGGGAACACTTAAGGTGCTCTTAATACAGCAAAATTCTCCAGAGTTGCCTCAGTAGTAACTTTTAAATCCTGTGCTGAGAGAGCCCTTCAACATCCTCTCCCATCCTGCTAAGTTTTAATTCTTTTATTGTAATACTGAGGCATGCCTAACCCTTAACAATACCTCTGGTGGCCCCACAAAAGGTAACAGCAGTTTGCCTGGTAATTGTTAGGGATATACTTCAGAGAGTTCAGCTGTGCCTGGACTGGAACAATTGTGCCTGTTGTGGTTGGGAGCTGGGAGAAACGGCAGGCACATTGGTCATTCAGATGCTTGTCTTTGAGCTGTGTCTTGTCAAATTCATTGCTGTGGAGCCCACATAACTCCATAAAGGCAAATGAGCAGAGGTTTTTAAGCAGAAAAATGAGTATGTGTAGTAGAATACTGTATGCTTTTTCTGAGGTGTTAAATGGGTTAAAAGTGGGTGGTTAAAAATAGTATGAATGAATGCATAGTAATTTTTATATATTTATGGAAATTATTGCCAATTTGCTGCATTTGTTGCTAAATAAGAATCCAATTTTACATCCTTTTGTAAGGCCTGAAGTTGTTTGGTTTTTTTCCTTATCATGAATCACAAATACAAAGAACATTTCACTATTCTGGACTAATTATTACTTCTTTGCAGTGGTCAAGATCTAGGAGAAATTATATCCTGACAGACAAAATACCACTAATTCCCCTTCTTCTTCCAATTCACTCATAAGACTACTCTTATAGTATGAAAATTGATACATGACAACCTTTGGCTGAATATCCTTTAGAGTTCTTGGACAGAGCACCCGCAATGCCATTACCTTCTTACTGTTAAGTAATATTGAGCTTGTCCCAGTAGTTTTTTATACTTCTTTATACTTTTTTTTGGTAGTATTTGTGTACTTCAGCAGTACCTTTCTATAACTGTCTCTGTAACTTTTCTGTGACTGTTTACAGTAGCAACTGCTGTTCCCTAAAAATAAAAGGTCTATTAAAAAGTATTTTTAGAGATATATAATACACACACACACACACACACACACACAAGACCTGGGACTATTTAGTTATGCAAAATATGCACCTTTACATACAACAGAGTAATGGTTCAAATAACGTCACTGCACTGTTTCACAAGCTTTTTTTCCCCACCAGGTCTAAGATAGTAGGGAAAAATAAAAAAGTCTGATGTTTAGTCATCTCTGTAAAGATGAAAAAAACCTGTTTAACACATTATACAACAGAGTAACTACCCAGTATTTATTCCCTTACTTAAACTTGAATTTTATTATCAGCTGATCCTGTTCAGTTGGGCTGGGCATAACCAAAGACTGTGGAAGGCTTAACCTGCCTCTCAATTACAGTAGTTCAATTATAAATGCAAAGTTTTAATTTCTATTAAACTGGGCATCAAGCAGAAAATCCTTAAGATGCTTCAAAAATGTGAGTTTAACCTGTGAACATAACATATTCTATTCTATTCATACTTTGGTGTGAATTCTTCAGTGGTGCACAGCTCTGAACCTTCTAAAAGCCATTACGAACTACACGTACTTCTCTAGGACTCATTCCTTTAGAAGTGCTTTAGTCATGATCTGCAGCACTGTCTCCAGGGCAGTTTGAAGATAAATCTTCAGAATCTACAGGATAAGCAAAAAAACAAAGTGAGTAATTTCAGCTTGGGGAGGGAAACATTGCTAGAATTATTTGAAGAATCCACGTAAAGCAGATTAAATAGAAATCAAGAAGGTTTGCTAGTTATTAATTCCAAACTTTGTTTTAAAATAGTGAACACAAATTCTACCCTCTTTGGTGCAGTGAAACTGGATAGTGTTCTGTTTCATAAACAACCTGCAAGCTTTCGCAGTTTTTTATGATACTAGTTTTAGTATCTGAATTTTGTTTTCTCAAAACAACATTAATAGAGATACCAGTTCAAATAAATGCCAGTATGGTTAGGGTTTTTGGGGTTTGGGGTTTTTTTGGGGTGGTGGGTTTTTTTTGTTTTGTTGTTTTGTGATTTTTTTTTTTTGGTGCATGTAAATACCTAAAAATTGGTTTATAATAAAAATGTACAAAGCTTTGTGCAAAACCCAGCACCCTGGAATGAAAATTTGCAATGTAGATTTAAAAGACTGCAGTAAGAGAAACATAAAGGTTATATTATACTATTTGAGGCCAGCTGCATAAGCAAAGTAAAACATTTACAAGACAGGTTTACTCTCACCTTCATAGGTTGTTCCACACCAAATGCAATAAAAGTGTTGTTCCCTCAAGTAGGCAGTCAGGAAGTGTAGCTTTTCTGATACCTAGAGATATGTACAGATATGCAGTGATCTGAGGTTGATGTGATATAAACCAGTTTAAGATACTAGCTTTGCTAAAACAGATTCTGTAATCATTTGCTATGGAAAAACTACACAATTCTGTAGCTCGGTAAGGCACGAAGTTTCCCAAATTTTTTCCTTCTTTATAGTTAAGAAAACTGCACTGAAGAGAGAGCTAAAAACAGTACCCAGCTACCTTATTTCAAGTATATGGTATCAGTCAAACACATAAGGCTAACAACAGCTGTGTAATCCAGTTCTCAAAAAACTGTAAATTTCCATTGTCCATCTTGAGATAATCTGTGGAGCATTTTCAATTTAGTGATTCTAAAATTTGGCCTAAGACATGACATGAGATGTCCAAAACTAAAACTCCAAAAGCAGGTAACTTTGATCAAATAAGTGATCTTGCATATCTTGGCTAAGACACAAAAATGTTTAGAATTTAATTTCTAGACTACTTTTTCCAAAGCTCAGCTTCAAAAAAGATGAGCAATAAAACAAGGATTTCATGTTTTATATTGTGTAACTGCTATAAAAAACACTGCTCTAAGATTGCAAAGAGGCCATTCACTACAGCTTGGAAAATGACATGTATACATATATCCTCTATATATGTATGTATGTATGTATATATACATCTTAAAGGAATATTAAATTTAATTCCAAATCAAGCCATTAATTTAGTCGCAGAGCTTACACTTAAGTCTGAGCTTGTACATTTTTCTTCCTTGTCTTCCTCATCATTTTTGTCTTCCTCTTCAGGTTCTAGCCAATACCAAGTCTCCTTGGGAACATCAATACCCTTAAATAATGAAGAATTTAAATGAAAATTATCTTTGTAGGTTTTCTTATAATATGCTGGATGAAAACAAGTTATAATAAGTGATATGTTAGTTTTTAAAACTTTACTATATAGTACAGCCAAGAACTACTGAAGCCATAGTGGGGAAACTAAGTATACTGGTTCACAAGAATGATTATCTACTTTTTCAAAAAAGCAAATGCATGCTAACAGTAAGTTCTATTCCATCTATGTCCAGTATGTGTGAGGCTACACAACATCATCTCACACCGTGGCTGTGAATAGACACCCTACCAGCTGAAGACATGCTGCCCCCAGTTACTTTCTCAAGAGATCACACAGTGCTTCCTAATCCACCTCAGGTAAAGTTAAAGGAAGATGAGTCAACAAAGGTTATCTAAGCTAATTCAGCCAACTTTGTCTGAAGCCGACTAGGGAGTATCAAACAATCTCAGTAGAACTTGGGTGGTATTACTTCTAACAGGTTATTAGAAAAAAGGAAAATACCTGAAGTTTTCCAGTGGCAAAAATTTATAGTAGTTCACTGCTATTACCAGTGTCATTCCTTGCAGATGGAAGGTACTTTGAGTTTGGTTTTTGTTTGAATGGTGAACCTGCTGATTCCCTCAGTGATCATCCCCATTCTTAGAGAGAATTGAGAACTGTCAACTGTCTGGACATGGTTCTAGACAACCTGCTTTAGATGGCCCTACTTGAGCAGCTGGGTTGGACAAAGATGACCTCCAGAGTCCCTTCCAACCTCAACCATTCTGTGATGATGCTGCTCCCTCACTTGAGGCAAACAGCATTGTCACTTGAGACAGCCTGACTTTGGCTACCGAAAGATATGCAAACAGCTCAAAAGTAACCACAAGAATGCAGGAGCAAAAACAGGTGATTGTCTGATGACACAAATCAACACAAGTCCTCACATAAATTGCCGTGAGGTTGGTGTACACCTTCAAATATCCTAATGGTGCAAACATATACTTTGAAAATAAGAGGACTGAAGTGTTGCCAAACATCAAGACTTCAGGCGGCTTATCCCACAATTTTAGAGAACTTCCAAGAACTGAAGCACTACTTTGTTTGTAGCCTGTATCTCTAACCAATAAGCTTTCCTTCCAACCTCCCAAAAATACAGGTCTCACTTTTTGTGCATCTAATTGCTGGCAGGCCCTCTGGCTTTTTCGGAGGTCTCCTTCCATCTTACGTTCTTCTTGTTTGTTTTTGAATCTTATTCTGTTAAGATAAAGTAGATAGCTGAAATAAGCTGGTAGACAAATAGTGAGATGCATTATAGTTGACAGCTTTTCTAGAAGAGAAAATCTAAGATTCTAGCTTACTAATTCTCTCAGACCAGGACAATGTTGAAGTTAAGAAGTCCTTCTGAGATTGGTTCTGTGGGAGCACACATGTATTTCTTGGGAATTATTCCTTCAAGACAAAGCTGTTTTGATCACTCTGCACCAAACTCTGTTTCTTCATCAGGTTTTCATAAGATATGAAAAAAGTGGTTCACTGAACACCTGCAAAAGATACAGCCTTCTCTAGACTTTACTTCTCCATGTATAACAAGCAAACCAGGAGAAAATAAAACTAATAAAACCTAAAAAAATTTCCTCTGATTTTAAAGCCATTGTAGCAACATTGCTCAGGATTTTCTATGGATTTTCTATTAAAAAAGGTAACATGGTTTCTTGATTTTAAGTTGCGGATGACTTGAGAAGAGTTAGTATGTACATCGTTTGCATTATTAACATTTACAAAAATAAATGAAGCAGCACATGCTTTTAGCATTACAGTGTTCATCTGCATTTGCTTTAGAACTGAGAAACAATTATTCTGTATTTCAACTCTTATCTCTCATTTAAAACATTCAAAAATAGTAACACATTAAAATAATAATCAAACTTAGAGCATAAAAAGAATTCTTGTTTAGACACTGCTTGGAATATCAGTTACATTATTTTACCTGAACTGATCTGCAGCTTGTTCATTTGCTTGTTTTTTCATATGGAGTTTTTGCCTATAGTTTTCCAGTTTTTCTTCAGCTTTTCGCTTTTTTAATTCCTCATGACCAAGCCCACTTCTGCCTATGTAAGTTCAAAAGATGAATGTAAGCAGCTGAAAAGCTCTGATACCCAACTAAGTAAATTAGGAGTATCACAAACCTGTTTTTATGTTCAGAGGAATAGGTTCAACAATGCCTTCTCCTGTGAAGGAAAAAAAATACATCAGTTTGAGAAATTAGGTCTTTCTCAAACTATGATCTGTGCAGTATATTCAAGTAGACAAGCTCCTTTTCCATTATATATGTACATTTTCTTGTGATTTGGAAGTTGAAAAATCCCAAATCAATGCACATTTAGTGCATCACAAATAACCCAAAAAACTCCCTTTCTCTTTTGGCTTGTCTGCTGGATTGCTATATACTTTTTCCAGGACACTACGCTACTGAAAGGAAATGGTGTTGACTTTTTAAGTGTGAAATACCTGTGATGAAGACTGCTTTGTTACAGCCTTCTATAGTATTTTTTGCTCTAGAATCTCACAACTTGACAAAAATGAAGAATCTGTCTGGACCTGTTCATTTGCTGATCATCTAGAGACACAATGAACTGGTGCAGCAGTTACTGATGCTTTGTTTTAGTGATTTTACTTCATCTATTAAGGCTTCATAAGGGTAAGCCAGAGTGCACTGTTTCTTCTTCAGGATCCCAACTCTGAATTCAAAGCAAGGGGTTGACTTTTTTTGAAACACACTTAGCTTTGCAAGACCATCAAAACATCCTTAATACAATTCCTGCAGGCACACATATATGAAAGTGCATTTACTGAGCAGCAAGTACTGCTGCTTCCCTCACATCTCTTGACGGTCCATACCATTTTTATTTCAGTTTTAAGAGATTTGCTCTCATCTTTTGTTCTGCCGCAACACGTTCACTGTTCAGTAACATCAGGATTCTCTGAGAGGCGTTTCTTGACTCTGTCTACACATGAAGTGGCAGCTACAGTCTATAAAACAAATAGGTACACCCAAATATAGGCACAGACTTCCAGACAGTGACAAGCTTACCGCTTTTGCCAAGGGCCTGGCCACTCTTGTAGCCCATCTTCTGGAGCAAAGCAAAGCCTTTGTTCTCACTGCCCAATGCACTTTTCAATACCAAGTCACGTCTCTCTTTTTCTTCTTCTTTTATACTCTTTTGTCTGTTCTTCTCATTGGCTTCTTTTTGCTTTTCTTCTTTCTGAATAGCTTCCTTCATCCGCCTCACCATGGGCAAGCCTGGCCTTACATCCTGCCTAAGAATTAATTCCAGCAAATATTAGCACTTTTTTAATTAAAATGTTTACAATCACCTAAGAGGGGAAAAAAGAACTACTTACTTAATAAATAAATCAGACATGTAGTCATCCTCTTCATCCTCCTCCATGTTTAGCATGCGTGCCCTGTTTTGACCCCTTCCTTGTGAACACCGTCAACACGCTTTATCACGCATTTTACCTCCCTGCAGGTTACCTGAAAAGCAAAACCCGCATGAAAATCTCGCCGCTCAGGTCTGCCACGCTAGGTCCGCACCCAGAGGCTGAATGGGTACGGCCCTGAGGGACGAACACACAGAAACCCAGCGGGGATCCCGGGCCCCCGCTTCCCTCCCCCGGGCCACCCGCGCCGGCCTTTACGCCCACAGCGCGTACTTCTGAGCTCCGCGACCGCCCACCGCCGGCAACCGCGGCGCCTCTCAACCTCCCCCGGACGCCTTCGCCCGCTGCCAAGGCGTCTACAAAGCTGGAGGGGTACGCGGACGCTGCTCGTCCACTCACCCGGCTCTACTCAGCCCGGCGCCTGCGCGCGGCCGCCCCTCGGCGCTTGCGTACCTCTCGCTTCCTGCTGCGCGGTAGCGGGTGCGTCCGCGCTGCTGAGGGGCATCAGAGCCGGCGCCGGGCCTGCGGGCAAAGGCGCTCATGTCCACTTTCCTGTCCCCGTCCTGCCAGCTCCCTCTGTGTCCGTGACCGTGTCTCG